AGTTTTACAGTTCAAAGAGTGTAGAATTATTAGCTGAATCACTTAGGTAATCAGAAATGTGTTTCATCTATTATGGCACATTTAACCTACCTATCACAAAATTATTTTACCGTATGTTTACGATTCATACTATTAAAAAGTGGGTAAGTGGATGTCACTCTGCTGTACCTACAGTAGCTTATAAGTGGGTCACTGTAATGGATGGTATTAAATTTGAATTCAATGATATAATATTATTATATAGGTACGAAAAACTATTCTGAGTGGAGACGGTTTTGTCCGTCAATGATATTGTTTTAATTAAATAATTTGTAAATTTTCAATTTAATAATTTTTGTCAAAACTTGAATTTTAAATGGTTATAAAAATCATTAACTTATAACTATAAGGAACCTTTTATTACATTTTAAAGCGTTTTGACCCAAAGAATAAAATTGTATTAACATTTATAGATAAAAAAACTAAAAMAATTTAAAACTGAAAATGTCCGTAAACAGCTTAAAATAAGTTAAAATATTATGAAGATGTTATGGTGATAAATTAATATAATTTTTGAAATAAAATGTTTTTATTATAATTTCTCGAAATAGCAATTCATAAGTAGGTAGGTACTCAAATCAATTTTGTATTTATTATTATGAATAATATCTGGCTATTTTTTTTTTGTTCTTATCCGGTTATTTTATTATCAAAATTATTTTAATATCATCATAGAAATGCTATCATATAATCAGTTATCACTTATCACTATGTTATAATCATAGATAATAAAAAAGTACMATTTTTCGAGTTCAATTTTCAAATTATTTGATTAAGTTCCCTATTACACTATTTGAGTTATGTATTTTTAAGACGTAACTGTAGATTCAGTCATATATTTTTTATTTTTTAATACTTTTAATATATTTTGCTCAGCTTAATAATATGTCACTACTATCGGTGAAGACCAACGAAAATGTTTCATTATGTGTTTTGGTTTCCGATGAAAATCCCGAACTAAAATTTATACTTCTGGATAACGAACCTTTAATATTAGGTAGAACACAACAGACTGGAATTGTTGATCAAAGAATGTCGAAAAATCAAAGTAAATTAAATATTTTACTATGAATATGTATACATTTTCATATGAATTGTTTTTATGTAATTATTATTTTACAAGAACATGAGTTTATTTGCATTTTTCCATCTGAAGTGATACAATTACAATGATTTACATATATTAAGTGTCACTGGGATACTTTCTTTTTAAAAATTTAAAATAGATATGTTTATTTTTTCAATGGAATGGATACATAATAGGCAAATAATTTTATTCACATTAATACTCCTAGAAATTGATTTTAGTGTAGATACCTTAAATAATACAAATATTAATCAACTTATAAATCTAAATCCAATCCAAGTCCATGTTGAAAACTTAATCATAAATATTTTGGTATTTTCAAAGAATAATTAATTMACTTATACTTAATCTTATTGTAATCTAATTAGTTTTTTTTTAGAATTTGGTAGGTATCCCTTATTWAATATTCTAATTATTTTTTAGTGAAATTTGTTGCCGACTATTCTACGGCTCGAGTATTGGTTGAACAATTAGGTAGCAACAAGTCAGCTGTTAACGATGAATCTATGATTAAAGGAGAAAAGAGACTCTTAAACCATGGAGACAAAGTGGCACTGTTGTTTAACAGCAATTATACATATCATTTGGATTTTATTACACCTCCTACTTATGGTGTAGACTCCAACAAAAGGACAACTAATTGTTTGGATAAAGAAATTTCACCTAAAAAACCTCGCTCAGATTGTACATCTAAATATGAAACTAGAGATGGTATGTGTTGGTGATTAATAATTAAAATATTTTTTAGATAAGGTAAATGTTAATTAATTAATAATTTTAATATAAAGAAATTGCTCCTAAAAAACCTCGCTCAGATTCTACATCTAATTGGGAAACTAGAGATGGTACATTGTTGGTTTATAATAGTTCAAATATTGTTCATAAAGATAAGGTAAATTTTAATACTATTAATTTAATTTAAAATTGTTATTTTTAATGTTTGTATTATTGTATTCGCTGTTTAAGATAGCAGCATTTGATATGGATGGAACACTAATTGTTACACAGTCTGGTAAAGTGTTTCCTGTTGATGAGAATGAYTGGCAAATTTATAGTCCAGAAGTTATTACATCTATTAACAAATTGTCTGATGACGGTTACAAAATAGTGATATTTACTAATCAAGGTGGTATTGGGGTTAATAATGTAAATGAAAAAACATTTAAAAAGAAAATTGAAAATATCCTCAAAACTATAAAAACACCAGTTCAAGTATTTATAGCCACTCGAAAAGATATATACAGAAAACCTGCACCAGAAATGTGGAATATATTGGTTTCTGATGTATGTATGTATTTATTTATTTAATTATTTTTTTTTTTTTTGCCACAGATTCAACAACTTGGGTTATTAGCTTACAAAAATATTAAATGTTTATAAAATTTATAAATAAATACATTGGTTTTTTTACATTGAATTTATGTATCATTATATTTGAGAAGTAAAATGATTTTATTGCTATTGAGTTCAATTAGGGCCAATTATTAATTATTATACAACTAAAGAAATCACTTTGTTTTTTTTATTTTAGTACAATGGAGGGTTATCAATTGATATAGATAAAAGTTTTTTTTGTGGTGATGCAGCAGGCAGACCTTCTCGTTCTAGTGCTGACGGTAAACCAATAAAAAAAGACCATTCATGTTGTGACCGCTTATTTGCCTTGAACATTGGTCTCAAATTTTATACTCCTGAAGAATATTTTTTAAAAGAATCTACTGAAGAATTGTATACATTACCAGCATTTAATCCAAATGATGTTATGTCTAATATCCTCTATACAGATTTAACATCAAAAATTTTATTTTCCCCTAATAAAGAAGTAAGACCTCTTCAGCTCATGCAATCTTTATRTTTAAATAATAATAATAATATTTTTAGATGATCATAATGGTTGGCTGTCCTGGATCTGGAAAAAGTTATTTTGCATCAAATAAATTATTTTGTCATGACCGAATGAAAATAATTAATAGAGATACACTAGGCTCGTGGCAAAAATGTATTTCCGAGGCTAAAAAATACTTAAGTGGTGTTAGTTGGAGTGTTGTGATTGACAATACAAATCCTGATATAGAATCAAGAAAACGTTTCATTGATTTAGCCAAAAGTTTAAAAATCCCATGCAGAGTATTTTTAATGAATGTATCCAAAGACCATGGAAAACATAACAATAAAGTAAGTGTAAAAACAAAAGCACTCTTAACATTTAAATAACTTAAATATTATTTTGAGTCTGTACACTATTATGCCATGAAGTTGATTTAATATTTTCTATACGATTTGTTAAATAATGTAAGGAGAAGTACATTTTGATTTTCAATAACCTCATATTTATTAAATGATGTTTATAATATAATTTAAAAAACTGTTCATACAAATGTAAAGGGATGTTTAAAAATTGTTTACTCTATTCTGTGGTTATTCATAAATCTATGTTTTTGTTTATTGATATATATATAAATATTAAAAATTAACTTAAATTATGTTTTTTTTTATTTACAGTTTCGAGAACTTACTGATAGAAAACATCAAAAAGTATCAGATGCTGCAATTAATATTTACTTGTAAGTATACTAGGTAATACTAAGAACATAATTTACTGTAGGCTCATGTATGGCAAATTTTAATTAAAAGAATAATTTATTAATATATTTGGAATAATTACATTTACATAGTATAGTATAATATAACAGCGGTTCTTAACCTGTGGTCCGCTGCCTTCTAGTGGTTTGCGATACTCATGTAGAGGGCCCGCTGAAACATTAACACCTAACATAAGTCAATAAAAATAATAATAAATATGTATGTTTTGTTATTTCTACTTCTATAATTTGTAATATAAAATAATTATTATAATTTTATGATAACATGAGATGTTTTGTAAAACAAAAAAGTATTCAACAAAAAATTGGTATGGGGTTTTAAAGGATTTCTAAAAATCTTTCAGAATAGTCACTTACTGATTTTGAGTAAACTCTTATTAGTTCCTTTTATTTTAATACATTTTATATACATTTTTTTAATAACTTGTAGTATTAACATTTTTTAAGATAGTATTATTTATAATTTTATCTATCGATTTATGAATAAGAAAATATGTGTTAATATTAACATCTGAATATCACATTAATATAAGTTTGTCATTGTTTAAAATAATTGTGTTATCCTACGTATTTTTCAGTTCAAAATTCCAAGAACCATCCAAAAATGAAGGTATTGACGAAATAGTTAAAATAAATTTCGTTCCTCATTTTAAAGATCCTGATCATGAGAAGCTATATAGAATGTATTTGCTCTGATATAAGTAATTTTAATTCTTTTAAAAGCTTATTATATTCAAATTGTAATTATATAATCCATTGAGAATGATAAATTATTTTATCTATCAGTTTATAACAAATTATAAATGTATAAATAACTATTTTAAATTTAATAATATGAACTAAAATGATGTATTTTAATTTAAATAGTTTTGTTAAATTGATAAGCTTTTTTTTTTGTAAGCAGATAATTAATAAAAATCTAATTTAAGATATTGATGAATRTGAATAACTGTTTTAAATTATTTTTCTATTTTGATTTGCATTTATTAGCAATTTATTATTAAATAATATGGATTATGTTGGGCTGCAGCATAGATGTAACTAGACCTATATTTTTTAGAGGATGTTTTAAAAAAGTAAAATATTACTTGCTGCAAATTACAAAATTTTGTATTTTGAATCAAAAACTTATTTGAGACATTTAGACATTTTATCTACTTAGGTACTGATCTAGGGACACCAGTAATTTTTTTTTTAACTGCCTATTGCATCTTTATTTAAACGACCAAAAGTCTTTATAAATATAATATATTGTGGGTGAATGAATACATATAACAATAGTAATACATAAGTAGTATTATACAATAATAATAATTACTTATATATACATATATATATATATATATATATATATTATACAAGAACATGTTTTGGGTTGTACCTCCAATGAGATAGCCCCTTTTCTTAGCTTAAGTTAATTAAACTAAGTCGTATGGCTTCAGGCGTTTGAGGCGCCTAATGTCTTGCGAGTTGTGAAGAAGTTGTTTAGCAGTTGCATTTGGGTGCAACTCAAGTTTTTTCACATGTTTGTTGGCAAACTTTTTAATTTGGAGGGACACCAGTAAATGAGTAAAATATATTCCATCACTGTGTTCGACATAATATTATACTTAATTAAATGTTTTGAAATTTTATACGATTCAATGCTTTTGATGTTATACAATTTACTAGTATTACAGCTTTCTTCATTACAGTTTGAAAATCAACAAATTGTACACCCACATTTTTTGATAGATAATTCATTGAAATTGAGTCAGTTGTATAGAATACAAATTTCATCTCAAAACTGACACCTTCATTTTTTTCTATCATTGGTGGAGCACCGTTTGTTAAAACTGTAAAAAGTTATAACCCGTTACCGTGATTGCAAATCGCCAATCGGTAATTTAGCAGTATTCCGGTATTCGTCATGTCTATACCAAGTTAAGGTCAGCAGACGCGGGTTTAAGGGTAGGAGCAATGGATGCTTAGAACGCCTCGGGTATCACGTTATTTAAGCCACCAATTAAAAAAAAATTTTACTTGCTTCAATTAGGTATGTACTTAAATCTAAAATAGAAAGGTATTATACATTTTTTTTTCCACTCCCTGTAGACCCTCTAGACCCCACGCCTGAGCCAGTAAATAAAAAGTTAAAACAGAAATACCTACATTTCTTTAGGGTAGACGGTATATTGATATAATGTATACTGGCTAGAAACTAGGTATCAGTAGATACGTTAATAAATTGTAATTACTAAATTCGTTTTCAAGTCAACTTCATGGCGAAATCAAATAATATATTTTTAGAAGTCTTACCCAATGACTTGGATAGGAGTACCTACGGTTGGCATAAGAAAAGTATATTTTGATAGGTACCTATAACGGTATACACATTTCCGGCGGAATCGAGTCCGCTTAAACAAAAAATCAATTTATATTATACTATAACGAATACATTTATTATTATGGAACAATTGCAGTTTAGCTCCCAAGCGATTTTTTTATTGAAACATATGTATTTCAACGAGTTAAGAACGATGGTGCAAAAATTAGTTGGTGCAAACCATTATTTTGAAAGTTATAGCCTTTCAAATTTCACCTAACCTCTGAGGTCTTGGGGGGGGGAGAGCATACCTGACCTGCGGGCAGGCGGATGACCTAACAAGTAAATTTAACCTTGTTAGTAAAAGTAACACAAGTATAGTGGCTCCCTTCGACTGACGACTCCGAACGCCAAACTCAAGGGACGTCCCTCCGCCTACCGGCTTCGGTCGCCATACTCGATGGCCAGTTAGAGACTTAAGACCCTAAGAGTAACATAAGTCAACAGCTGTTGTGTTATATGATAAGCGCGCCGCACACTGCAATACGTACTATTTGTCATACAACCGCATACTTTGGAAGGCTATAACTTCCAAAATAATGGTTTGCACCAACTAATTTTTGCACCATCGTTCTAAACTCGTTGAAATACTTGTGTTTCAATAAAAAAAATCGAAAAAATCGCTTGGGAGCTAAACTGCAATTATACTAACATTATTATTATTAATTTTATGAGGAATTTAAAAACGTATATTTTCTACCATGAAAATCTAAAAAAAAAACATCTTACAGGTCTTGAATATAGGTACCTAAATGGATAAATTAAAACCAATTTAGATGATGTCGTAACAAAATTTTGCACCCCGGAGCAACATATTATCTTTCACTTCAAAAAAAAAAAGTCTTAAAATCTAAAGAACAAATACTATTTTGCGGAATAAATTCAGTGTTTAGCAACCATAAGTGATTTATGAATTTTTTTTCGAAAACCTATGTATTTAAATAAGTTTAGAATAATGATGCAATCAGAATGTGTTTGTGACTTATGCCACTTACTTTAGTTTCAAAGTAATCAAGTTATAATCTTTTTAAGTCCCTGAGTTTACGTATTCCTACTCGTTGGACAGTTTTTTTTTAAATATTATTAAATTATTTAGTAACTACTAAAGTAGGATAAGTAATTTCTTATTCGACTACAATGTTAAGAATGAAAAAGCTCACATTTACAAAAAATTCAAAATGTCAGTTTTGGAATTTTAACCTTAAAAATAAGATTTTGAAGTTTTAAAGTTTCTTGATCATAATATACAAAGAAAATTTGATCAACTACTTTTTAAAGTATCATTATATTAAGCATGCACACGCATTTTGAAAAAATTCCTAAAATTAATTTGGAACTAATCTGCATTCATTTCAATATTTCATATTTTCATCTGTTAGGTACATATTTATTTATTATACCCATATATATATTTATCTTAAATTCCTAGAAAAAACAAAGTATATTAAAATGTATTAATTTACATAAAATTATGAAATAAATAATAAATGTATTAAGTATTTTTTTTTTTTTTTTTTTGGGGGGGGGGACAATTAATACAACCTCAATAATAATTTACGTATCTCGATATAAATTAATCGATTCCTAAATGCATAAAAAAAAATTATCTAGATGCATTAACATTTAACATATTAATTAATACCTATATAGGTATTTCAATTTTTATATATTCAAGGTAAATATTATTTTTTTAATAATCATGAAAATATATGATTCGATTTTACCCCTTGAAAATATATTCCTGCTACGGCCTTGGAATTTGGATGCATTATCCAATATCCGTAATAATTAAGTTTATTTCCTTTTATGCAAATATACAATATTTTTAATATTTACTCATTTATGACTTAGTAAATGTTATTCTAAATTGTTTTTGTATAGGTAATAGGTTATCCAATTACCTATGCATTCAAAAACAAATACATCACTATTTGATTTTATGTAAATGTGTTAAATATTTTAATTTTAATCATATATAATTTATAATAACGATATAGGTACACTTAATTAATGAATTATAGTTGAGTATAGGTTTAATTATTCAATATTATTTTTTTTCGGACTAAGTAGCACCTAATTGTATGTAAGTACCTAATTCGTTGTATATATTTAATATTATATCGTGTTGTTTAATCTTTCTTATATTAAACACCGATATTTCACAAACAAATCGATATGAGTAATACATTTTATGTGAAAATAGATGACAACATCATGCCTAAACGTTTAATAATAAAAAAACATATGTTTATAGAAATCATGATGATRCACCAAAACATTTTATAATATTATAAGACGTGTATGGCAGCAGACTGTTGTTTTCTCTCTCTCACAAAAATTATGATAGTGATAAAAATAGACCTGTAACGTGATAAGCTCACCTTGACTGTGTAAATCTATATAGTATATGGAGAGTATACATATTTAAGAAGTTGTTTAGTCAACAGCTGTGTGTTCGGAAAATTATGAAAAATGTACAAAAATTGATATTAATGACTCTTATAATATAGTTGTATACTTGTATCAGTTGTATCTAAAGATCAAATACAATATAATACAATATAATATGTATTATGAACATGTTAGAAGTTATACCTTCAATGGTTTCAATGATAAACTTCTCCTTAGCCCAAGTCCCTTATACTAAACAAATAGGTGACTGAAACTTAAAGKGTTAGGATGTAATGGGTGGTATAATTCGAATTCAATGACTTCATATCGTTRTGTACGAAAAACGATTCTGAGTGTGAGACGGTTAGGTTACGTTTTTAGTTTCTTAGCTTAGTAGCGAAGCGATGAATGTATTGATTTAACAATGATGTATGTTTATTTAATTGTTTTTGTGCCCATGTACACGATAAGTAGACAAAATAATGCTTTGATTATTATCGTCAACATCTTTTTTCGGCGAGAASTAAATCTAGTTGGTGCATTGGGGAGGTCAAAATTTTAAATTTCCAGTAGTATTCAAAAATACCGGGATAAAYAAAAAAAATTAAGGAAAAACGGGAATTTTTGCACAAAATTGATTGGTTTTTGGTATAACTCTAACTGTATAAAACAAATAGCCGTAGATACATGACATTTTCACTGAATAATAGAATTTTT